CCACGTCATATTCTTGGCATATGATCTGTCTATGTTGATGATCACTGTACAAGTGTGGATATTTGACCTAAAAAACCTACATAAGAACAGTAACAAAGACAGATCGTTAAAAATCATCCACCAACGTCTTGGAGAAGTATTCGCGGCTGCTGTTATTCAAACAAGCTGTTTAACATGGAAACCAAGTTTAAAGCGGAACATACTCCAAGAGGAAGTAGCAAAGTGTGATACATGTGTTGCATAGAGAGGTATGGAGACAGGGCTGAGTCCAGTTCTCATCAATGTTTAGGAAAAAAATCTTCCCACTAAGATAAGACTTATGCACTTGGCTCAAATACAGGTAAATAAATTGCATCACGATTTCAAGACGCGCATACCTCCGTTTGAGCGCTGTATGTGCCTAGCATTCGGCGGGACACATGCAGTTCCCCTTCCCCCTCCCCTCCCCCATGTCCACAGCGGTGTGAGTTGGAATTACTACTGAGAGCGGGAATATAGTGACAGATTGTTCATGCTGTGTTGGTGCATCCCTCGAGGCAGGGCCTGACGAGGCCGTCTCTCAGTTAGAGACGTCCGACACCTCTAGTTCTCAACCCCCCCCCGGATAAATGACGCTGTGACAGTAAAAAATTTGCAGCCGATTAATGAAACGTTTCGGCGGGTAGAATGCCAAACACGAAGGAAACGCGACTCCCAGTTTGAAGTGGAACGTAACCGGAACAGTGGCTGCTGAAAATAAGGTGATCCATTTGTTGTAAGCTGGTCTGGTTCCAATTTCTACTGCACCAGAATGGTGCAACAAAAGTAGACGGAAACCTGTCTAAATTTCCTAATCTACACGTAGGCCCTAGGGGGATGAGAAGAAAACAATGACAGGAAAAATGTCTAGCTACTGTTTGTGCTGAAGCTACTGTAAAATGGGGGATTTGGGCCAGAAAGAATAGGGTTTGCTCATGAATGCGGGAATTCTCTTGGCAAAACTAACCAAAGGACACCAAACCACTATACAAATGACAAATCAAACTCGAAGCTAAGGTCATATGGGACCTTAAAGTGCATTCGCAAGTACTGTTGCACTAAACAAATACACAGCGTAGGCCCTTTAACGTATTCCGGGAGATCTGTCCGTCGGTATGTACCCGACTATTTTGTCCCGGCAGGATCGTCGCTCGCTCGCCAACGTCGAATTTAATTTCGTGGGTTAATTGCAGCTGCGTCTCGTCCGCGTGGCATGCACCGGGAGCTGCACGATGCACTATATATCCGCCGGTGGGACAGCACATTAATGTAGGATTGGGAGCACGCAAATCGATCCAGCACCGACAAACTGCCGTCAATGCTAAGCGGTCTGTGTTGATTTCCGGTTGTTGCCTCGGTTTGCCGTACCCGTACTGTTTTGTCGCTACCCAGGATTTTTAATCCGTTCATATAACAGAAATTTTCGGATCTCTCTAGCCTACCCATAAGGAAGGTTGTTTTCTTGAGATCCGAGGCTATCTTGTCCAAATAACGTTACCGAGCGATGTCAGTATTCTTTTGAACGCTGAATCCATCTACGTAAGTACAGTAACATTTTCAGTCGAGATGACTGGCGTCAATAATGCTCCATTCAGATCAACTATATAGGGCGACTGAGACGCTCCGCAGCCTCACTTGATGTTGGGCGATTCTGCATGAAGCAAAGCGCCACATGTCCATTCCTGGTTGTAGGCAATGAACAGTGAGCCTGCTGGAATAGGACGTGGGACACCACACGACGGTATAATTGAAGGCGAGGGAAAGGGTCGGATGAAGAACGAAGGGAAATTTTAATTTAATAGGTTGGCCGAAAAACGGACAGCACTGACGTCCACTTAGGAAGGTCAAACTCTGGAGGAAGTCCCACACTGGCACGATCTCCCAATTTATATTCATTAATTAGGGCGAAATTGAGCCGAGCAAACTTAATTTTAGTGATTACAGCCAGATGATACTTACTGTTTAAGACAGGACGGGCTTTCGGTGTGCTGGTTAAGTTTATACCCTGATTTTGAACAGTTTTCTTGCGCATCACTTACTGAACAGTGATTACAAATGGGTATTAATTTGGTATTCTTTTCGATAACTCAGGGTGCAGCTTTTTAATAATTTATCAGTTTAGGCAAGCTCGGTTAGAACAGAAAGTCACTTAAAACCACACTGCGCACAGTATTACTCTTATACGATAATTATTTTTATGTGTACTATAACGACTTTCCCTGCGTACGTTTACATCATCCCCTCGCCACTGGAGGGCGCCCTTCAAGCCCCTCAAAATCGTGCCCGCGCCGTCCCTCTACTCCAGAGCGAGAGAGGTAGCGGATTTTCAATGTTGACAGCATGCATACGGACCCAAGAATGACGGCTGTCAGAGACAACGGATTTCCGATGTGTCAACCTACGGAGCCGGCTTAACGTCGGCCAACAGGTGCACGAGGGGGGGGGCATGCCCACTTAGTGGCGCCTTGCGCTTTGTCCGAACAGCACAAGGCCAACGACGTCAACACGCATGGCCCTGGATGAATAATACAAACGCTTCAAGTTCCTGACTTTTAACGCGAACTCAACTCGACATTCCACAGCGGGAGTCATCACCTCAGAGAAGAATTGAAATGGCTCGGAAAGAAAATGTGATCTCACGTTCACAAATACGATTAACTCGCATGGCTTCGTGAGCCATCGCGCTAGAAAATACGTCAACGTCAAGGCGTAAACCCTCTCTGATGAAACGACGCGCTCTTGTGACAGTAATTGACAGATTCTACTGAAGCCCCCAAGCAATAAGAGATTTGACAAGTTGCCACTGCTTTCCATCACCTCTGCACGTTGGTTAGATATCCGTTTCCAAGCCAGGAGCTGTCTCCTTTCAGGATCGAAGAATTTCATTTTCTTTCTTTTCTTTTTTTGCTATTACTGTTATTGAAATCTGATATCTGTGAAACCTACCATCGACGCATAGCCCGGGTTATATGTGTTTTGCAAGAGATTTAGTTTCGTCCTCTTTAACCCATTTTTACCAACCTGGTCTTACTTTGCTAGCGTCCCTTTTATGCTTCATTAACATCTGGGTCTGGATTTCTGCAATCTGCATCTTTGAACTCCGTTGCTACACTACTGACTGCCACGAACGGTATTCAGAATCGATAAGAACATGTGTCGATCTATAAGTGCTTCAATTTCTCCCTGCATTTTTTTATTAATAATATTATTATTATTGTTATTGTTAATTTTTGACCATGTCAAGAGTTGTGAACAAGACCTCAAGGTCCTTCTAAAATCACTCCCCGGTTAAAATGATAAAGATTAAAGATAAAATAAGGAACACTGTGCATAGGCCTGTACTAAAAGCTAAAAGAAGGAAAAAGGAGGGAAAAGCTTCGAATTAAAAAACCTAATAAAACTATGCAAAACAAGCAGAAAAATGTTGTTGCATCCCAGGCATAAAGGAAATATACTATCTTTTCAAAAAATTACCAGAGCACTTTGGCAGGGTTCTCTTAACCACATGATTTTGATGCACTTCGAGTAAATTTCTTGACAGTGACCTTGCCAGCTTAGTTCATCGTTGATAGTGACACCCAACCGCGTGGCTGTTCATTTTGTTTGTAGTGTAACATTTACCTGAGCGCCACTTGCAGGCATACCTCGGACGCCTCTCAAAATGTTTTAAAGTCCTTTTTGGTTGGGTGCACTCTGCAGCTATATAAGACTGCTGCGCGCATGGGGGGGTTGGTCATTCGTTCGGTTTCTTTATTTTGTAGCCATTTTTGCGTTTGGGTTTCTTTGCCTTTAGCAGTGCTCTCTCCTCCAGCCCCGCACCAACGCTGGTCTCATTGCTTGTGTTACCCGATATTGTAATTTATCTACATTTATTAATTTGCCTTCTGGATATCTTTGTAAATATTTATTTGCTTTGTGTGATTTCAATGCTAAATTTGGGAGGCGCCCCCGAAGTTTGTCTTGTTGCCGTATTTTTTTTGGGGGGGGCTGTTAATTTGTATTCATTTTCCCAAGCCCCGGCCTGCCCGTCACAGTCGCGATGCGACCGTAACGCGTGCGTTTCATAGTCGTTTGCGGACAGTGAAGTGCAGTTCTCACCAGAGAAGCTTCCGTTATTAGGAAAATTGCGCCCTCTCTTGGTTCAGCTCGGAGTTCATACATGGACGACCCTAAGTTCTCATCTCCGTAGCGGTTCAGCCATTGCCTCCTCTGCTCTGTGATTTACAGCTTTGTGGATGAATTTAAGGAAGTCTCTTCCGACGAGACCCTTAGTTAAGTCGTTAAGTGGTGGGGAAAAGACACCCACCGGGGTCTACCGATGTGCACGAATCGTCGCATGGTTGTGAATACTGCTGCATCGCAAGACATCTCGATCGCGCACGCCGCGTGGTGACAGCCACTGTTAAAAATAACTGCCACGCTGCTACAGTCAAAAGCGCGGGCACCCCGCAGGCTCCCTCGAGCGCGTATCCTCCGCGAATTGTCAGTGCAGCTATTTTTAACGAAGTTTGCAACATCCACGCCGATGCTGGGCAGTGTAAAGCGATACCGGTGGTATTTGCACGAGCTATGTAGGGAATTGCCCCGTGTCGTTTTCAATTAATAAAACCGGTTGTAATGTCTTTCATGTGCTGTCGACTTTTCAGTGACACCCTCTCAAGAGTCTGTCATATGTCAGAGAAGGTAATTAACGTTTGAAGTCAACATGATATCATACCAGACTGATCAAAAGCCACAAGTTTAGTTAACAAGCAGTATTACTGCAAAGTGAAAAGATCCATCAAGGGCATGAAGGAAACACTGCATCCACAGTACCTCTGATCGAATTGCTGGTAATGGGAAGTGGATAACCTTACACTATTACATCTCCGGTGGCGAGGAGTGCAGGAGGTACTCAACCGATGCCTAATTTGGGACAGACCTAAGTCGACGACCTACAGTTGAGAAATGTTCGAGGCAGCAAGAGTAATTGAGATTCTTACCGGATCAACGAGTGAATCCGCCCGTGAGGTGATGACGAGATCGGCTCACTATCTGGCAGGATATGCCCAATGCACCAAGCTCTGAAGTCTCTGGCAAAGATGATCAGGTGAAACCGACTGGTGCTTTTCCCGGGGTCGTCTCTCCCGTGAACTTTTAGTCCAAGCGTGTCAGTTCTGACGCTCGTGTGAGGGGTTGCTCTGCAGGGAGAGAGACAGAGTAAGGATGGAGGAGACGTAAAACTGGGAAGAAAGTCTAAAATTAACGCTGCTGCAAAGTTGCTTCGGGGGTAGAACGGGAAGTTAAGAAGTCAACTCAAAGACGAGCAAGTGGAAGATCGATGCACATGGACAAACGAAGTCAGACAGTTGGATAGAGACAGATTTCTTCAGCTAAGAGGCAACAGAAAATGGATGAAAAGGACAAATGAAAGTACTAAGGCAGTGAAGGCAGACTGAAGCTGGCCAGAATGCCTTCCGGCTTAGCCACACCTGAGATAGATGAGTCGATATTAAGCAGCGGAAATAATGACAGACAACTGTAAGCCCCTCCGTGCCTTTAAGTTTAATGATCTGAGTTTAATACGATAGATGTTTAGATCAACCTCCCCATAGGCCTACCGTTTAAACGTTTAGCTAACACTTTACAGACGCTGCCTACCTCGGTTTTTACAAAGGCATACAGAGTTAACATACAAAGCACATGACTGGCCATACGTACCAATTGATGTAGATCGATGTTATAGGGACATTCATTATAAGCAGTTTCTCCGGTTTTAAATTCCTGTTTTAAATTCCAAAAACAAAGTACATGGTTGCAGAAAGGAAAACAATCATTGTGCAAAGATAAGGGATGTACATTTAGTAGGACGAGGCTTATTTTTAAGGATGCCAGATCAAGTCGATTATTGTCAAACCTACAAAAAATTGTTTCCGTTTAAACCTTTTGGAAAATCTGTAAACGTTTACAAAACGTTTTCGTTTAAACGTGTAAAAGTCACAGCCTTACTACTGTCCAGCATATTCAATCGCATTCGAGGACCTGGAAAAGAGACCTTATTAGCTTATTAGCTTATTGGCTTATTAGCAACACAGACCTGGCCACGGGAAGCTTGGGTCTGAGCACCGCGACGGATAAGTCATTTTACCGGGGTGGAAGGGTCATTTTAGTGGATCAAGAGCGGGTGTGTTCTACCCAGTCTTCTTTACCCGTGTGCTAAAAAAACACCTCCTCTGATTAGGATTTTTAGTCCCATGCAATCTTGCCCAAGCTGATCCTTTTGGAGATTTGATATTTTGGAATCATCACACTTTTAGTTCGCTTGCAACCAAGAATGAAAGGAGGCATCATTTTATTAACACTGGTGGGGGCGTGGGGTCGCTTGAAATGTAGACTATTCGACCGTCATGCTGGCAAACGTGGAACCCCAAGATATCAAAATTAAGAACACATGATAAAACAAAACGGAGCCAAAAGCTCCTTCACCGTCTCGAGCCAGCACTTGGTCTGAGACGGATTATTCAAAGGTTCCCGGTGAAGTGCCTATCGCCACAGCTGCTTCACGCGCACAACTGGCCACTTGAAGCAAACCGCGTGCAGCTGCATAATGCTGGCCAGGCGCTGGCGCATCAATCACTTCGTGCGCGCACACGCAATTTGCGATCTTCTCCCGAGATCAGATGGTGCAAAGCCTCGATCGTTTCGACTTGCAATTCGTTTCTTGGCAAGGAGAGCTGTGAGCAAAGCTTAACTTCAAGTGACACTGAAGCCAAGCGTGAGGCATTTGAAGAGGAGAGGTTGACGTTCGTTTCCGGCGACCAAAGTCCTTTGCGGAGCAACATTCGCAAAACTTTTGAACGATGGTAGATACACACCAAGTGAATGATTATGGCTTGTCAGATTTATTTGCTTGCCAAGAGGAAGAGAGACTGTATTTTTCACAGCAAACTGATTCGGAGTGCAGCGTTTGGTACGAAAATTTAGTGTGTTCTCCCGCCGTCTATTCTAACCTGCCTGCGCGGTTCTACGTGGCACGTGCTGTGTTCCATATACAAGGGTCCTTCTTTGTTCCTTTAGAGTCGATTCCCCCTCCCCCCAAGTTTATCTAGTCTGGCGTCCTACCTACAACCTGTGATGTTATTCATACCAGTCCGGTTCACGGTTCCAGCAGACAAACAGGCCTCCCGTTCCGATGAAGCACTAGCTCCCCCCCACACCTCCCTTTCCTCCAGCGACCGCCGGCCGGCTTGACCCGATGAGACGTCCGGACCTCTCGTCCGGGAGTTATTTGCCGTTGAAACAAATTGCCGGGATTGGTTCGGTCATTACCGACCAATTATTCCAAATTGTTAAAGGGGCACAGTCCACCCGAGCACGGGCGTTTCGAAACGTCGGGAGGAAATGGGTATAAACCGTAGAAGCTCCCCCGTAAATTTTGAGCACTCCCCAGAATTGATATAGCTGCATCAATTTAAATACTCCCCTTCGGAGGGCAGACCCAGTGAGCATTAACGACTTAAAAGGATAAATAACCGCCTTAGTTTATTAATTTGTTAAGTGCTTGGTCAACCCTACCACTACAGATATTCCAAAGATGTCAAGTTTTGATACAGAAAATGAAGAGCATGAAAGGGGTACAGGCAGATCTGGGATTAGTCATTACCAAAAGAGTGCAGAGGGTCACGCATGACAGTTGAGTCAGTGTGTTAACTTTAAACAAATGCGTCCCACTCACAGCAGGAAATCGTGTCTGCTGTTACAGATAGCTCTGTAACGCGTTAAAATTAATGTTGCTTCAGTTGCGTTTGAGCAATCAAGAGAGAAGAATCTTCATGTTATACCAGCGGGTTGGCTAATAAAGAATGGTTAGGCATTAACAGTGAAAAAAGTGCACGACTTGTTGGTTGAGGATCATGTCAGCTCGTCAATATTTGCCCGACGAATTTCCCTTTGCCAACACGCGAAACCTGTCCGGCGCGTGACAGTGCCAGCCTTTTTCCGGGGTTTCAACTTCATCGTATTTTTTAGCCAGATTTCACGGCTCATTGACACGGATACTGACAGCTCTTCAAACATGAGTCGCTGCATGGTTCTGGGAGAGAAGAGTTAAATTCGTGGACGGCTTTCGCCGGGGAGGGCAGCCGGCGGCAGTTCCTATACCCCAGACGCAAATTTCGAGATACAGTGTGGTGTCTGTGGACTTAATGCTATGTTTCCCCACTTCATTTGTCTTCTATGTATAAAAGTTACCATACTAGGAAGTGATACCAATTACGAAGAATTGCACGAAGAGCGAGCTGAGAGCAACGGGGAATACAGAACTGGAATTTGGTGCTGTGGGAGTGTTGGCTTAGTGGCAAAGAACCGACAGATTTTTGTAGCTGACGCCGTTGAGTTAAGATATGCCAGATTTACTTTCATTTTCAAATGTCTGTCTATAACATTTACAAAAATCACGACTATGCTCCCTCCTTTTCGACATTCATTCTCATCATATTTGCCAACCTAATAGTCAAACCTTACAGCTATAACATTAAGGCAGAGAGGTAGCCAGCTTTAATAAGACAAGGAAACGAAAAGTAAACAAGCCCTGTTGTTTACGGTGTCACAATTGGAGAAGCACATGTAACATACAACATAATAATATACAACAGCCGTATCACTTTCGATGTCGACGAGCACGAGTTTGCTACCATCATTTTTACACCGTAGATCAAGCACCCACACTCCTAACGAGACGGGGGGAATTGAGGAAAGTTAATACAGAGATGGGTTCGTTTCTTGAAAAAAAAGGGTCTCTTTGTTTCCAAGGCGCCTATTGACATGAGAATCTCCTAGATTTTCAACATCAAAATGCAATGTAGCGGTAAATACTCGAGTGTACGCGTGAGAAAGACGAAGATAACGTGCAGACCCACAATATGAAATCGAGCGGTTAAACAGCCAAACAAACATCACAATCTGATAAGTTCATTATGGCGCGTACAAAGTCTTCCCTTCTTGGGATAAGGCGCGCCGGCGGCGGCAGGGCAAAGCGGAACTTGAATTCCACGGACCCATCGACTCGGTGCTGATGGGTATTTTTGATAAAGGGCACGGCTGGCAAATTGAATCATCTCGGCGGAAAAGCAACATTATTATCGCAGGCATTTGGCGGGGGACGGGACGACTTTGGCCGCGGTGCCCGAGGACCAAGCGGCCTGCGCAGAAAATATTAATCGCCTGATCAATTCCGTGTTTTCGTATCGAGGTCGCCCGGCGACGAATTTTATCCTCGCTGGGGGGAAATGGTATTTCTGTTCAGGAACGCGTTCCATTTGAAGAGTTATCCCAGCGCGTTGTTCGGATCATGTTGGCCTTCAAAATGAAGCTTGTTACCCGGCTAGCATGGAGTTCCCGCCCGCTAGGAACAGTTGGCATTCCGACACGAACAAATTACGCATTTTAAGGCAATACTGCCGGCACAAAATTTACAGTAAACCAATCGTAGTCTTAACCCCAGGCGTTTGTCGAATTGAATAATAGATGTGACAATAGCTGTATTGGGAGCTGACATTCCGGAGCATTGCATTCAATCAATTAGCAGGAACTGAGTTCCTAATTTCATAATTTTAGTCGTAGTCTCAACTCGAGGCGGTTTCAAGTGGGCTCTTTCAAAATGGTGGGCAGTACGCTGTGGCCCGTAACGAAGGTACCGATATGCATTATGTGAGATCTGTATCTATGCAGTAACCACGCCGTCAACTTAAAGCAATGCAGACGACATTCACCATTATTCGGTTCGGCTAAATTATGGCAGCCACCAACGAGACCATAATGCAATTACACCGTTGAAATTTCCAACCCCAGAGACCCTGACCACCGTCATTAAGCCTCGGACGTTCTATCTCCATGGTAACGCTAAGACATATTTGATCTGAAGAGGTCCCTTATTTTTATTTGCCAATTTTGTAAGAAGAGCTTCTGATCCAGTCACTTAATTCCCACAGTCAGGTGTCCAGTGAAGTGTCGATCAGTGAACGCGGCGAGTGGCAAAAGAGAGTTTGTAATCCGACAGTGAACTGTCGCACTTCCAACTGAAAAGAACCCAATTCATACAGCTATTCAGGGCGGACATTCGTGGGGGCAAGGGTCATGCATCCCCGCCCCCCAAAAAAGGGTTGGCAAAATTATGTTGATAAATAAAAAAAAATGGCGCCCC